CGGAAACCCAAAAGGGCAGAGTCAAAAGGTCAGTTAGGTGTGTTTTTTCAAGGTATACCTTGTTTTCGGCCGCGGCGTCTCTCCTCGGGTTTGCCCACCTTGACCAGCAGGTCCGAGCCTACGCAAACTCGAAACTCGGGTTGCCTGCGGCCTGGGGCGCCTCTCAATCGAAACTCGGATGGCCATGGGATAAAAAATCCAAATCGATTGGCCCCGAGTGAACATCCGATTCAATCCAACCACTAAAATGGGATCCCATTGATTTTGGACAACCACAGCCAAATTGGGAACAGGTGCCAAAAAATAGGGGACACAAAACAAGGCCGTTGCCGATGCTTTGTTCTCCGGAACCGACCTAGGGAGGGTACCAACTCCAAAAGCGCGCTGGGCATTTCACCTGCGCCCTGAGCAACCAACATGCAAGAAGACAAACCGACCCTAGGGGTAGCTCAGAGAAACCCAAATGGGAGGGAATCTTCATTTCCCGAGTCTTGTACCACCTTCTGAAAACATGGCTCCCTCCAACAACATAACACTCCCTCAGACTACGGAATCAAACCCCCCATTGGCCTCAAATGGAACCAAGTCACTTCCATTTCAGGCTCCTGGAACCTTCCATGAATCGCCTGGGCGACCTCGCCACATCAAAAGCCACGCCGCCGCTAGCGCCGGGCCTACGGACCGCAGCCGGCGCTTCAGCACCCGCACCGACTGCAGCAGAAACAGCGCGCGGAAGGCGCCGGTTCTCGGGCAGGGCTCAAAATCAGTCAGCTGGGGGGCGGGGGGCGTTGCAACCAAGTTGTCTGAGGCCCAGGGGAGGGGGGGGGGGGCTGGGGGGGGTGTTTTGTTTCTTCTGGCATTTGGTTTTGGGGTGCGTTGCAACCAAGTTGGACGGCGTCAAGTAAGTGGGGCCCTGACAAAGCGTCAGTTTAAGTTAAGGACACCACAAGAAATGGTTTATAAGGGAAACCACCAGAAAATGAGGGAATGAACCTGGGGGTTCCCGAACAAAGGACCCGTGGGGGATGGGTTTAAGCGGGGTCATTCCCTCATTTTCGGGTTGAGCACCAGCAAGCCCCACGATCCCACAGCCCCGGCTGCTTGAAATTCCCCGCCGATTTTGGGTGAGGTGTTTTCCTGAAACCAAGTTGTAGGCCAGGTGAAAAGTACATGCTGGTGGTTGGTTTCGCCCGGTAAATCGCCCCTTGTTTGATATAAGGTGCTATACATGATATACACATCTTGTTCTTCTTGTCCTTGGTTGTATGCGGTGTTTAAGCAGTCAGCACGGAACGAGTCTATGTTTCGGCCCTTGCAGTACCCTTGTTTAAGAACCGAAAGAACCGAGAGCCTTTCAAAGTCTGAGAACAAAGGGCCTGATCTTCGCAAAAGAGAGGCTTTACATAGCTTTGGCTTCACATGGTGCCCGTGGGTTGCTCAAACTGAGCTGCGAGAGGTTGCGACGTGTCACGTGTTGGTTCGTAGGCTTCACAACTCGCCAAGAGGACCGGTCGCCGTCAAAGGGCAAGCAAGTCCTTAGCGAGGAATGTGGCTCGGTGCCTTCAGGCATTCGCCCCCAGGTTTGATGGCTGGGTCGGGCTGGGTGCTTTGCCGATCGGCATGTTTGTTGTCTGGCGGTTCCTTGGTTGGCTGGGTGGTGTGAAACAATTTGACCCGAGAGAACGACAAATTCTCGTACTAGCAAAATTCCTTTTCTTCTTGCTGGAGGTTTAAGACCAAGCCAGTAGCTGTTATTATTTCACCACCTCCTTTGGCATGACACCAGGGCGCATTTGTAACAAATAAGCGAAGGAGAGGGGCGTTTTCTCGCAGTGGTGGTGGAATAAACAAAACACCCAAGGCTCAACATACAAAATGGTAGGGTGATAACTTTGTTTTCGGGGGGAGGGGGCTTCCTGTGAAGGATCCCCTACTACTCATCCAGGGCTTGATTAATCGTGGCTTCCCCAGTCCCCTCATTCCCGCAAAGTGGTGCCTTCCAAGTTTGACCGACCTGAATTAAGAAATCCGCAATTCTGCCAACTTTGGTTTCTGAAATGGAAGCCAAGCGAACTTTGACCTTCATACTAGGTGAGCCAATTCTAGGGGACACCTCCCCGTAACTCGTGCAAATGCTTGGGGCAGGTGTGCCAACTTTCTCTCTAAGGCAATGTGACCTCGGGATGAATCTATGACAATCCCGAGCTTGCGGAAGGTTCCCCCCCCCTTCACCCCTCCTTCCACATTCCTTTTTAGAGGTATTACTTTGTCAACTTCAAAGCAACACCTGAAGGTACTTCTGTTTCAAGCAAATCTTCGGAAGTAGCTTCCAGAAGCACCCAAAGTCCATCGCTTCGCTTGCCACGGCGCTTCCACACGCCGGACCCGGTCCGCTGGAAGTGCCGGGGGTCGAAGACGTAGACCTGGGCGCAGGGTGAGTCGTTTTGGGGCCGTTTGTGGTCCAGCAGAAAGCTCCTTTCGTTTCAAAAAACGAAGGGGATCTCCTGAAAGGAAACTCGAAATGATTCCAAGTGAGCTTCCTTCAAATTCACATTCCTGGGAATTCTCGGACCACTTCCCTTTCAAATCGAAGGAACAGCCAGCATGAGGCCCGAAGCCCCCCCCCCCGAAGCCACCCCCCCCCGGACAACCCACCACCGCCCTCCGGTCCCAGCTGGAGCTCCGGGCCGGCAGCACGGGGAGCTGCTTCTCCTTCGCCAGCTGCGAGGCCCGGTGCAGCACCTCGAGCGGCGCAAGCCGCGCTTTCGCCGGGTTGATGCACGGCAGCGCTCAGCAGCTCACTGGCTGAGTGGATGGCCCCAAAAAAAAGTGTTTTTAGATTTACCACCAAAATGGTCCAGCCCCAAAAAGTGTAAAGTTCATGAACTGAGGAAGTGAGGCAGTGCAGAAACGGGGAGTTGATCCAAATTCCGTGAAAGGCACCCAAAATGACCATGGGTTGATCTGTATGAGTCATATAGCAAAGACATGATCAAAACATGTCAACTTCCGGAACGGGTTTGGTATTCCAAGACCCAAATTTTGGGCTTGATCCAGATTCCGTGAAAGGCGCGGCATACAAGGACCATGGGTTGATCCAAAATGAGTCAAGTGGCAAGGACATGAGCGAACTTGAAGAGATGCCGCAGAAGTTCCAGTTGGTCCAATCTGAGATGTTCCCAGGTGTTCCCCATGAGAGATTCCGTAGATTTGGGCCCCAGTTTTGACCATGGGGTCACTTTGCCCATTGGCTGAAAGTCCTCGTCTTGGGTGGGTTTCCCCAATGGTCATCCCATGCAAAGGACCTTTTGGTCAACACCCAAGTCATGTTTGGGCCAGGGCGGGCGCCCCAACTGCCATGTGCTTTGGAGGAAACCAGGAGGGTGTTGAACCCTCTGAATTTGAGTGCAATCGCGGCGCTTGGCTGGTTTGGGGAGAATCCCAAAAAGGGGCAAAGGCTTTTTGATGTCTTCTCATTCGGCAGCTCATTGTGTAGTGTCCCCGGAATGTGGGCAAGGGGAAAGCATAAGCTTGGCCGCTCAGCCAAATAATTCCGAATAATTTGCTCCTATGACTATATCAGTTTTGTTGTACCTCAAAACCCCAAAACCCCATTATTTCGGCATCATGGACTACCCCTAGCAACATGACTCACCACAACTCTAAAACCCCCATGAAAACGACTAACCCCAAAACCCCAAAACCCCAAAACCCCCAAAACAAAACAAAAACTGGTTTGTGGCGCGGCTTACCCCTAGACCTCACGACTCGCACTCTTTCAGCCCCCTACTCCTCCGGGATCCCGGGCCGGGGAGTCGTGGACGCGGAGGTCGTTCCGCAGCCAGGCGCAGATCACGCCCAGCGCCATGACCGAAGAAAACAAAAACAAAAAAAGGCCGGAGGCTCCCAGCCGGAGGGTTTTTGTTCTTTGGTCTAAGCTGGTTTAAGTTTGGCTTTGGGACGCCTTCTGGGTGGACTTGGGTTTTTAAAGGAGGTTCCTGCGTTGGGCTTTGGGCTGAGAAGTTGAGGCTGGTTCTGCTTTTTGGGGCTGGACTTTTGGGCGGGGTTGGTGGTTGCAGCTGGTGGTGTGGGTGGTTTGGGTGGCTTGGGTGTCGTGGGTGGGTTGGGTGGAGTTGTGGCCTTTAGGGGTGTGTGACCTTTTGGTCAAACAAACAAACAAACAAACTCATTAACTAACTAAAAAAGGGAAAGCTTGAACCAGAGCGTAGCAGGTGGAGCAAGACTAGCCTCGTGACAACTTGGACTCATGTTTGCTTGTCCATTCGGTGGTTCAAAATAGGGGCATCCAACCAAACTACATCTGTGGTCCCCTGGGTGCTTTTTCTTCAAATATGACCTCTGCTCCGAAAACCGAATCGGCGGAAGGCTCAACACAAATGGCAAACGAAAAGGGGGGGCCAGGGAAACCCTTGACCAAGTTTCTTGAGCTTCGGTTCTCTTTGTACGCGTCATGGCAAGAATTGACGGCTGCGCGGTTGAACATGTTGGAGAATCGTCATGCCCCTAACAAAGAAGAAAAGGTTACCCTCCTGTCCACGCAGAACCCACCAGGGGGCCCATGTTACAGGAGAAGACTTTCCAGCACCTGTAAGTCAGTTCCAAGGTTCATGCTAGTGGAAAGGAGGGAGGATAAAAATCCAACCCAAGAGCATTCAAAGTACCCTGCTGAACTTCCCCTAAGTGTTCTTTGTCCTTCTGGGGCGCATTGGAAAATGCGGAACCGGCGGAAAAGTCAAGGGCGGCATCGGTCTTACACGTCAAACTCATCTCTTGAGGTTTAGTACGTATCTGCGTGCTTTTTGACCATGTCCCGCAACCGACAAGTGCCCCTTCGTCCACTTCAAAAGGCTGCAACCTCTTAAACCAAACTTCCAACTAGGAACAACTCCTCCATTCGGCACTCGCCAGCTGCCAACCCTCCCCGGCATGACCGCCCCGCCCGGCCCCGGGGCCCTGCCCCCGGAAACGCCTCGCCGCGCCTTGAGCCCGGCCACGGTGGTGACCCCGTAGTGCCCCAGGAAGTGCACCGAAGGGGCGACCTCATCTCCTGCAAGGCGCCCGCAGTTCTTCAATTGACGCAGTTCTTCAATTGAGTCATAATCGAAACTCGGGTTGGCCTGGGGCACCTCTCAAGAGAAACTCAAATGAGTCACAAGCAAAACCAAAGGTATTAAACCAATGGTTGGGTTCATATAATGATTTACCTAGGGATTGTCATCATCCAAATTGGGTCGACCTTTCTGTTGGGGGTTGAAAAACTTGGTATTAAAATGGTCGTAATCCCAGAACCATGTAAAGAATTAAGAAGGCGGATCTCCGCAGCTATTTATGGCTGGGATTATTCCTTGCTAACCTTCATCTACCCGGGTTGTGATTGTGGCTCAATTAGTTTTCGGGTTGCGGGGTGCGGGTTGCGGGTTGCGGGTTGGGGGTTGGGGGTTTGGGGGTTGGGGGTTGGGGGTTGGGGGGGTTGAGGGTTGAGGGTTGGGGGTTGGGGGTTGGGCTGGGTGTGGGGGTTTGGGGGGGGGGGGGGGACGTCCGAATTGCATAAGGGCAAGTATTGTTTGTTTCACGGGAGGTTCGGTTGGAGTGATGTTTGGTTCAACATTCAGGGTGGAAACCTCTCAGGGCTGGGGGATACTCCTTGGACTTGTTACAAGAGAACCGCTCTCAGTGAGGTTCAGTCGATATCTTCACTGCCCAAAACCACCAAGCGTGTGTCAGTACCCCATTTTGGTGGGAAACAAAGGAAACAGTCATTTTCGGGGGTCCCTCCTATTTCGAGACCAACCCACAAGGAAGGGGTCTGCCACAAAGATGCATCATGAACCCCCCTCTGGGCTGATTGACCGAGACACTGCCAAGTTGGGTCCCTTACTATCAGACGCTTCACGCATCTACAAGTAACAATCACTTGGCACTCTGGGCACGGTTAGCACACGTTCAAGGATTTCCCATCGGGTGGAATACGATTGCGGTTCATGTGCTGACTGGTTACTCAGGGAAGTATCCTTTAGGCCATCTTTTGACTCGCTCAATTCGCCGCTCCCAATCGCCTTGCGGCGACTCGTCGATGAGATCCTTCGGGATTGAGGAAAAGGGGAGTCATGATCGGAAACCCCAAAAAGCTCAAGTAATTAGACTGCCTCGAATCAAATCTTGACACATTTATTCGGAAATGGGATTGGCCTTGTGATGACCTAGATTCTGAAACGATCACCAAATACAAGAGCTTAAGTAGCTAGAATGGAGTTGCGTTGTGCTTTTTTAAACCAAACTAAGAAAGAAAACGTTAGTAATCACGTAGCCCTACATTTTTTTGAGTCAGTGACAACCTCGATTCATAAACGGGATTCTGATTTGATTGGCTCAGAGACAACCTATAAGTCTCCCGAGACCTGAAGATCGCCCAAAAGTAAAACCCGCCGATAGGGTATCCGGGCCTGCTTAGCAACAAACAGCAATGGACTGCCCAAGTCAGACGACTGAGGATCCTGGAGGATCAAGTTGGGTCAGAGATCCTGGGGATTCAGTGGCCAAGGTCCAGCCTTGTGCAGAACCTTATGTTGACCCCTCAAAAACCACCCCTTTACAAAGGGGCATTCTGAGCACTGGGAGTTTCAGAAAAAAACAGAGACTGGTCAGCATCACCAGCATCACCAGCATCATCAGCACCAACATCCCCAGCATTATTAACATCACCAGCATCGAAGGTGTGACCAGAATCAACAAAACGAAGCATCATCAGCATTCTCAAAGTCCAGGTCATGAAAGATACCCAGAAAACACACAGGATGCGTTTAGATGTCCACCTGGAACCAGGTTGAGGAGAATCATGCTGCGAGGGCTCTTGCCAATGCCTGGCGAAGGCGTCGCATTTGATTGGTTGGCAACCTCATGCTTCAGGGTGCTTTTTGGGCTCATCTGCAAAAATTTGACTCGTGTCCATGGCCAAAAGGAATACCTGTGCCATGTTCGCGGCCAAGAATGAGGCGAAACCTAGTATCATTCTCATTGTCACCATCGTGCATTGGAATTGCTTACAAGCCCCAAAAAGCTGCTAGGGATCACAACGGATGTCCCGGGAGACAAACCCCATGCAAAGCCTCATGCCCACAAAAAAAGAACGCGTGTTTTTCTTTCAGGAGGCAAGACACAAATATGTAAAGAGCCTCCAAACCCGAGAAAAACCAAACAGATGTAACAAGAAACAAACCTCCCAGCATGGAAGCGCCAAGACTCGCTGAGAGAAGCATCGTCTTCCAAGCCGTGTTTGTTGGAGGGAAAGTCATCAGCAGTCAAAATTACTTGTTCTCATGAGTGAATCCCCGGCTTCTTGTGGGAAATCTGGTGAGACCTGGACCCAGGATTCATGGCTGGGACTTTATTACAAAGCTTCGCTAGAATTCACAGGATGCAGTTCCCCCCTTTGTTCCACCAAGGAGACCAGGGTCCCTTCTTCCGGGGGGGGGCAGGCATCGGGGTCCTGGCAGGCAGGCCCGCAGTCGATGAAGTGCACCGGCACGCAGGGGGTCCTCGGAGCCAAAACTTCGGTTCAGAGAACCGAATCGGTGGCTTGGCGGCTCAGGGATTCTCATTTCCCTGACAAGAACCCGGGCTTCGAATCTCCGCACCCCTTGGCTTTTGGAAACAGAACAAAAAAAAAAAGAAGAGAGCGGCGCCACCTCCTCCCCCCTCCCAAAATCCATCCCCCAGCTGCCAACCCTGGATCTCTCTCTTCACCCGGGCCGCGTCTCCAGATCCATCTCCTCCGAGCTGAACTCTCCGACGCAGAAGACTGCTGCGAAGCGCTGGTCCTGAAGCCGGCCAAAGGTGCTTTGGACTGGGGTCGGGGTTTGAGGGTTGCACACAAACCAACAAGACAACAGAAAAACCCAAAAGCACACAGCACAAAAGGGAAACGACGAAAAAAATAAGGAAAGACCTGGAAAAACCTGCCAACACACACACACACACACTACCCTACGCATGGAGGAGGCCCGTCTGCCTGTTAGATCCCTGGATCCGTTTTTCTGCGCCTCCGGCAGCTTCTGCTGCAAGGCTTCCAGCGCCTTGCCTCCGAGGCGGCGGAGGCGGACGCGGACGAGTGGGGCGAGTCAGGCGTCGGCGGGCTTTCGCTGGGTGCGATAGGCAGGGGCCCTGAGAAATAGAACAACCCCAAGAAAAACCATCCATCCGGTAAAAACCATCCATCCATCCATCCATCCATCCATCCATCCATCCATCCATCCATCCATCCATCCATCCATCCATCCATCCATCCATCCATCCATCCATCCATCCATCCATCCATCCATCCATCCATCCATCCATCCATCCATCCATCCATCCATCCATCCATCCATCCATCCATCCATCCATCCATCCATCCATCCATCCATCCATCCATCCATCCATCCATCCGTTTTTTTTGTTGAATCTACCCCTGAAAAATTGTGCTTTCGGGAATCCTCCATTCAAAAATGCATCTCTTCCTTCGGGAAGCCCCTGGTTCATTCAGAAATTCCCTGAGCACCAAGTTCAAACTTGTATCCTTTCGGGGCTCAAGATGAGGGAGGTTCTTGGTATTTTAGAAGGCAGGGACAAGCAGGCAGGTGAAAACAGGGGCCGTGCTTGTGGAAATTGGAGAAATGGTCATGGAACTCAACTGGTTGTTTGGCTTGGGCTGGAAAATCAGCTGAAACCTGTGATGCCAACATGGGCCGTCACGACTTGATCACGGGGATTTCATAGGGCCCGAAGACTGTCTTTCAACAGCGACAGCTATGAGGTAGCCAATCCTTCCCTGGGGCAGGTTCCGGAAATTTCGGGATGGGGAGCCCATGCAACATGTTCCTTTCAGCATGGGTCATTCCCCTGAGTTCAATTTGAAGGGAATTCCCTTACGTCTTTGTGGGGGATACTTGGGTTAAAGCCTCAAGGAGAAAGTCTCAAACCCCGAAATCACCGGGTCTTTTCTTGGTCGCAAATCACAAGTGTAGTCGAAGCAAGGCCCGTAACCAAAAAAAATGAGAAGATTGTCGGGAGGTCAGCAACTCTATGTCAATCAATGTCATGGTCCCAGGTTCCCTTAAGGATCCTCAGAATTCATTGTCTCAAGCTCTAGTCACCTTACCCCTTGCTGATTTGCATTGGTGGATAGGCATTCCGGGGGGCAGCTTCCCGTTTCAAGACTCAGGGGTTCAACCAAACCACCAAACCACCGGAACCTGAGTAAAGGCTTTATGCGACGCAGCCAACCTCCAAAAGAGGTGCTTACCTTCTTTGCCCTGCTGTCTTAGGGTATGACAAACTTCTGGTTGATTCAAGGGAAACCAAACCCATATCGTTGCCATAGGGGGCCACCATTTTGACAACCCCCCCACATGGGTCTGCCTTTTCTCAGAGGATGCTCTTGTTGGGTGGTTTTAATAACAATAGTAATAACAAAAACAAAACCTAGAGCCTATGTCAAGACAAACCCAGAGAGGGATTTCTCTTTTGGGAGGGGGGGGGTCCTTTCCAACTTTCCTTTCCCGCTTTTTCTAGGTCCTCCAAAAGAGAGGTTAGAATAAGGGTACCAACTGTATTCTGCAGTCTATTTTAGTAGGGGAACCCTCCCAACCAAAAAAGTTGGTGAGAAAGGGCACATTTTTGTGGGACTAGCTTTGCTCCCAGTCCCAACTGGGCGCCCGGCAGAGTTTCGGCACATCGCCGCGCACATCCCCACACAGCAAGATGCGGACCATGGCAGAAAACCCGGAACAGCGGCTCGCTCCAACTCCGGACGCCTCCTTTGGGAAGCCCTAAGTGGTGTGGTTTGCAACCCGATGAGTTGGACTTTCGCCATTTGGGTGTGGTTCAAAATTGAAAACAGGAGGGGGTAACGCAGGTTTTGGTCCATGTTTCCACTTACCAGGGTTCCATTTTGGTACCGGCTTTTTGAGCCACTGCCATTTGTTTCACGGATATTACCTGAAACTTGGAGTTCTGTTGGAAAACTCGCTTCATTTGTTTAAGAAGCAAGCAAGCTCAAATTCTCGAACTGGACTTGCGCACACCTGATTTTGGACCAATAGGACCTCCAATAACCTTCAAGCTTCTTGACCCTCGAGTCTCGCTGTCACTTGGGTTTTGGCATGTACCCATCTTACCCTGAAGGTTTGGACCGGAGGGGATTCAGCTGGATTTCTCCTCGAGTTGATGACATTGCTGGAGTTGGCTCAGCTGCTGCTGTTGGAGGTGCAGCAAAACCAAGAAATTCAGGCATTGGGATCAGAACTCCCTTGCACTCTCCAATTTACGCCTTGAAGCATTTGGGCAATTCAGGGACCCCCGGGATTTGAAGGCCCTTGAACCGCGAGCCTGGGAACTCTCCAAACTTTGCCTTGAACCGCGAGCGTGCGGCGTCTTTGTGAGTGAAGTGGCGCGTGTGTCACCGAACGCGGGCGAAGGCGGGCGACAGTTCCGGACCCAAAAGACGCCGCGGAGGTCCGCACCGTCCCGCCGCCGCCAACTCCAGGCCCGTGAAGACCAGCTGGGACTGAAGCGAGCCACTGATCCGCCCCGCATCCGAGCCAGCCGACGTCAAAAAACAATGACTCGCGACTCGCCCAGACATTGGCATAGGGGTAAAAAGGAAAATAGATGGCCCTGGTAGATGATTCAACCACAAGGCAAACACTATTTTTCTCATGCAACCAACCAAAAAGGACGACCCATCGCGATAGGCTCTGAATCAGAGGCTCACGGTCAAAATACGAATTCCCAGAGGGCATGGGAAATTTAGGGGTTGTTTTCTGGTTTTCGTGGGACCCTGAAAGGCGCTCGTCCCCCACGAGTCTGCGAGAAGCACCTTTGAGGCCACTAAAAATGTCAAACCCCAAAACGGGGGGGGTGGGGAAACAGGGAAAAAAACTCATTTCAGGTCAACTCACTTGCAGCTATTGGCCTCGGACCCGGAGGTTCTGAGACAGTATGTAACAGGCCTGCAACGAAGGTTTCCTGATCTCAGGGGGCAAATCCAGGGGTGCTTGTACATACCCCTTTGACATACCCCTTGGACAAATGAACCCAAAAGGCCTGCTGATGTTCATACCCCCCTCCCTAAAAGAGGTTTCTACCCCTTATAAAGTGGGTTGGAAATGGAAGCCAAGGGCTATGAGCAAGGGGTATGTACTTCCCTTAGAGCAAAGCCATTCCCGGCACACGCCTTCAAAGGCCCGAAGCTGTGCTGGTGCTCCTGGCTGCGCTGCGTCGAAGCTTGAAGCCGGCGCGCGCGAAAGAGCACCACCCAAAACCCGAGCTGATTTTGGCTCTGACAAGGTAAGCAGGGCGTTTAAAAAAAATAAAAATGGGACTACGAGAATCCCTGATTGGCTGGTTTGGCTACTGTCCTGCAGAATTTATCATGGCTTATGAATTTAGAGAAACCAAAGTCCGATAAGGATAGGAAAATGAATCAAATCCTTTTTTGTAGACTCAGCATGGAATAAATCAATGTGATTCTTGGCCGGATTCCTTTTTTTTGGGGGGGCTCGTCTATGCAAGAACGATTTCTGGCTTTCCGCATCCCAACAAATATTGGAGGCTGAGCCTTTTTAGGGTACTTTTTTTGGGGATATTTTCGCGACCCCCTATTTTGGACACCCTAACCTCGTTCTCAGGTAAGCCCCAAATATAGAAACCGCACCTTACATGTCCTCAGACTGGGCGATCTGGCCAGAAGGCTTTCAAAAACCATCAGTCTAACAAGGCCCTAGTCGAAAGCATTTTATTGGGTACCAAGTTGGATTTCCATGCCCGTCACTACTTTGTAACATCACAACAAAGGTGTTCCTTTACGGAAAAAGGGCACCACTGCAGCAACTGAGCTCGCTTCATGTGGGACGGAATCAATTCTCCTTCAACAACCAAAGAACAAATATGGGTGCTTCTCAAAATAGAGGTCCCCTAAAACGATTGGTGTCCCTTTTAGTCCATCTGAAAAGCGGGTCCACCATGTGAATCATCAAAGCCTGGTCACAGAAAAAGAATCGGCACTTACTGTTAAATTGTGGCTGCGAACCAACCAAACGCCGAAAATCGCCCCCAAGTTCAACGTTGCATCCTCTATCCGCGCCTGCGGCAGTAAGGAGAGGGAAGCCGAGCTGATGTGAACCGACCTCGGAGAGACGAAGCTAAGACCCGGACATGCCCCAGGTGAAGGAAGGAAAGGAAACAAATGGGGCACGGGCAGTGGTTTTTTCGACGCAACGATTTTGGAGGAAAACGGAAATGTCATTTGTATCACAAGAAGGAAAATTTCTGGGTTGATTACGAGGAAAGAGCAAACACCTTGCGAGCGGTTCGCCTTAGAGTCACTACACCTGTCCAATTAAACCCAGCCTGTTGGCTCCCTCCTAACAAAAATGGGTTTGACATCAAAGGGTGGGGAGGGCATCAAGGAATCACCTTGAAAACGCACAAATAACGGAAACCAGCGGGGACAGAGCGTCAAAAAGGGCTGCTGCCTCGTTGGCCCTCTGTGCGTCATCGGCAGTGGGCGAAATCGACTTATGACTTCGCTGAGGACAGGTTTTGCCTGGCAATGCGCTGGAGCTCATTCATGAGACTGTGGGTGTCCTGATCCTTTCGCATCGCAGCTCTAGGCAGAAACTCGGCGCTCTTTGACACGCGTGCGACGCCCGACGCGGGCCGCACACCGATTGCCTTTTGGGCACTGGTCTGCTTCGGCGGGGCTGCAAGTGACAAGGGCTCAGCACGGACCATGTCAGCCCAACTGCACACGTCGGGCACGACACTGCACGCCGAGCTCTAGCCTGTCGAGGACCCCACGGTACGGAATTGACACCACGGGCAAAGCTCCATGCAATCATCCTTGCGGGCGCCATAGGATTCAAGCCGAGGACAGCACTTCGCTCGTCACTCGCTCTCCGATTCCCGTCCGCTTGAGGAACTCGCTGCGCGCACACACACGTCTTTGCTCTCGCTCCACCATCGCCATCACCGCAGAAGGGTTACTTGGGGGCTTGCTGTGCGCACCTTGGGATAATGGCAGGGCAGGCATGGGGCACGCTTTCTTTCAGCGGGCGGCACGATGCTTAGGGTCCGAACTTCATACCTGTCGGATGTCACAAGCGCCTTCAACTTTTCTTTGCCGAAATTGTCATCAGCTCAGGCGACTCATCTCTGGCATCGTCTTTGCCACTTGCGTTCTGTCTCTCCGTGCGGAGTTCCTTGGGCTTGCAGCAGGCCGTTAATATTCTCAACTTCTGCCTGAAGGCTTGCATTTTGGGCGGCCATGCTGTCAACTACACTGGAATATTCTGCTTCGACGTTGCAAGAGTCTAGACACTGCTTTTTCGGCTTGCTCTTTGAGGCACCGTTGGGCGTCAGCTACGGCTTCATTGGCTTTGCAAGCGGCTTGGGCCACTTCCTCGCCATGGCGGCTATACCTAGCTTCAGCCACTGCCACCTCCTCACCGGAGCGCAGGTTCATACTCAGAACATTATGTGCTTGGACACTCAGGCATTCACTATAGTAACGCGCAATGCTTGCTGCGCGGCACGGAGTTCCTCGCGGTTCTCTGCTTGCATGTACGTCACTGCGGCCTGTTGGGCGCCCGGCTGCGGAACGGATTGCGGCATCATTCCCGAAGGCAAACACGGCTGTGTTGTACTGCTGAAGGGCACCGCCGGTGGCGTGCACGGTCTACGGGCACTGCTGTTCCGTCTAGAGGCAACACGCTCATGGCTTTATTCAGCTAGGGGTCAACGGCTGCTAGATTCAAGGGTCACCCGTCTGGGGCCCAAGTGATTAAAACAATCGTTAGGCGTGCAACTCAGTGGGCGGACCTTTTGAGCTGCCATTCTGCAAGACATGCGGATGATGTCGAAGTGTACACATGGTTCCAAAGCAATCAACAGGTGTCCCTTTAGAACCACAACAATGGGGGGGTAGCCTCAAAAGAAGCCAGGACCCAAAACAAAAATGCCAGGACCCTCCCAGCGAAAACTTACAACGGGCCGCGACCTCCGATTCCCGACGGATCGCCGAGGACTTGGGCTTCCCGGCAGCAGGCTGGTGGGCTGGGAGCTGAACCCCAGCCGCAGGATCCCCTCCTCACAGGACTCGCGCGCCCACGCCGACGCCCCGCAAGTTTGCGGGGCCGAACCAAAAGCTCCCCCCCGAAACCCAACAGAGACCCAAACCCAAGCAAGCCTGGGTTTAAATGAGGAGAAAGACACCAAATCAGAACCAACAGAACCAAATGAAAATCAAGCAAACCACCCCGAAAGAAAGAAAAAGAACACCCAAGAGGAGACAACCAAAACTGAAACCGACCAAACCAAGAAAAAACAATTAATGATGATCTGGGTGCGACGGAATCGTCATAGGTGATGTTGTCTTCCGGCCGGTGAGGCCGTCTTGTCATGCGATCAAAAAGCATAGCTGCCCTTTGCTGGGCCCTTTGTTCATGACTGTGGTACAACTGCCAAAAAGTTGCTGGGTGGTTCTCAAAATGGAGGGCCCTACAGATGGGCTGCTTGCTTTTGGCGACCATGTTAAACTACCCAAAAAGCGGTCTACCATTGTTAAAACCCTCCTGGTACTGCCCCATTGGCACCTTCCGACTTCTGGCCCAACCCCTCCTCAAGGAAGCTGCCATTCTGCCTCGGCGGTGAGAAAATCTGAGGCCCCATGGAACTGGGTTCTTCAAACGGGAATCCGGAGATGAATTGGGACACAAGGGAAACCACCAAGCGAGCAGGATCTTGATGAAACCACCCAGTAATTTCATAGGATACAAACAGAACCCTCATAGGACAAATCCTTTTGGTTTCCCTTGAACGCCTGACTGCATCCGTGGGGCGCAGTCAAGTTCACCTGTATCTAGTTGGATGGTACCCTGGGCTGGAGTGTTTTGGGGCATGATAGAGGTTAGATTGTGGTTGCCAAGTACATGATATCCCTGACTAACAAGGCTTGGTGCACAGTTTCCGTTTGTTTTCCAAAAGGAACGCAGTCTTCCAAAAGGGGTCAAATGGTGCACTTCCTTGCAGGGCTCCTGGAGGTCAAATGCTCAAAATGGAGGCTACCGGCATCCAATAGGAGATGGGTTTCATCCCCTTTCAGGAGAAAACGCTTCACCCCGGGTTCGGCGCAGCTTTTCTCCTCGCCCGGATCGCGCGCGCTCGAGGCGGCGCGATGGAACCCAGCAGAGGTCTCGGGGAACCTGCACGCGGAGAGCTGCTCTCGGGTGTACTTCTCATCGAAGCCTCACCAAAAATTCGGAGCCCATACCCATCTTGCTGGTATGAGAAGTGCTTGTAAACCATCCTTGTGGCTTTAAGGCATTCCCTGAGCACCAGGAAGCAATGACTGTCCCCCAGGTTGACACGGAACCCGTTGACGGGATCTACAATCAGTGATCCCATCCAAAGAATCCATTTGCTTGGACTTCAGACCTGCGAAAATGACGATCGAGGAAAGCATCTCCATGGCTTATTGGGAGCTTCGACCATGGCACATTTCAATACGCCGCTGGTTGGCACCCAAACCGAAATCCACCTGCATAACTGGGAGGCAATGCAACAAGCGTCCAAACCACCCTGGTTCCAAAATTGACCCCAGAACACTCCCGACATGTGGACCATGGCCACGGGCTTCCTCACCCCCCCCCCCACCGTGTTTTGCCCCGAATGTTTGAGGTAGGGAAGGGTTTCAATAGGGGTAGTGAGTCAGCTCAAAACTGGACTGTTTGCAGGCCCAAGACGGAAAACAAAACAGATCATCCAGAATACCAGATAAGTGAAAACGCCCCCTTTTTCGGGCGTATTGCAACTGTTTTGAAGGCTCGAACTGAATTTGAAAAAGGTGTTGAAAAAGGTGTTGACCCTGTAGGCAACCCTGGAACATGGCGTAGGTCTTTCGGGGGTCACTGGAAATGTCCCCAATAATCACAAGTTGTTCCAATTCACCTAGTGGGTTTACCTTCGAACCGCCGCGCCTCCGGGGCGAGTCGGCGCGCCGGACCAGCATCCGGGTCCGGACCCGGGTGCCGCTTGAGCTGCAGGACGCTCCTTCTTGGCTCCTCGCGGAGCAAAAGTCGGGTCGTTTCTGGGCGGGCTTGGATTTGGGGAACCTGAGGGGTCCCGATGGTTTTTGTTGGTTTCCCGAAGAGCGGCGGCTTTCGCAGCAGCGCCGGTTTGTCCGTTTGATTTCAGGTTGGTGGGGCGGCGTTTCTAGGGTCTCAGCCCCGATGGTTTTTTGGTCGCCCCAAGCCACCAAAAGCTGGGTGTCACTTCAATTTCGGGGTCGGAAACACGCACTTTCCACTTGGGGCGCCGCCGGGCCGTCCTCACATCCCCTGCTACAAGTCTATCTCTAGTAGTTTACATGGAAACTACTACTAAACCCTGAAAACCTAAGACCCCCAAGGAACCGGACGGCTCGGAACCAAGATGGGCGACTCCAAAAAGGAAACCATCCAACACGTCCGCAAGTCAGGGACCGGCCCCCGTTTGACGGGTAAGGGAGGCCAAAGGAAACCCAGGAGCCCGTTTTGGGGGAGGGGGTCCAATTCCTATGCTCCGAAACACCCAAAAAACCGCATCCCAAAAGGTCAAAAGGCACATGGGATAAAGCAGCCGAAGATGAGTGCAACACCAAGGGCAAGAACAAAAACCCTACACATTTGGAGGAAGGAGACATGGAAGAAGGAAAGGCAAGAGCACATGTGTCCAAACAACTGCCACCCATATGCAAGCGAGAGGCACCAACAACCATGCAACCATCCCAAGGAAAGAGCAAGCTGCGGCCCAACCTCAAGTCACCCAACACGCCGTCAGGAATGATCGCCAGTCCAGAGCAACCACTCGTTGACTGTGCCGCATAGCGAGTCACACTATTCATAGCAGAGAAAGCCACACACAATGACACCGCAGGCGGACAGGAAAGTACCTCACAGTTTGCAGTCGCGAGGAGGCATAGAGCGAGCACATGGCACATTCTCCGAGCAAATCCGGACACTACGAGCAAGAGTGATACAAAACTACAAAAGCAATTCCTATCATGCCTACGGTAGAGTGTCATAGCGGATACATCATGAACTGATACGCACGGCACTCTCCCGGCTACATGCGATTTCGCAGCCGGATGCGAACTCGTTCAGACCGCGCAATACATTGAAACAGGTCCCAAGATGGAACCACGGTTCGGGACGCAACAGGACAGGAATCCATAACAAGCGGCGTGAGCACGATGCAAATAACAAATTAAGCCACAGGATTAGGTGTAGTAAATGTAGACGGGTTCCAGTAATGCTGAAAGCGCCGACTGTGTTGTACATCAAATGGCCGGTGTTCCTGTGTTCCGGTGTCGTCGTGTGTTCCCGTGGCCAGTGCTTCTGCCAGGTTTCAGTTTTGCCCCAGTGAGGGCTTTACATCGTTGCCGCTTTGCCTCCCTGTGGACATCCAAACGCGTGTCGTGCCAGGCTGGAAATTCAAAAACATGTAGCTCATTATATATATATAAGTATACATACATACATATCTATATATATATATATAGATATGTCTACGTATCGTAGGGTATATAATGTAAAAATAAGTACATATCTTTGTTCAATCAATCTTTCAATCTTGAGGTTCAGCACGACCAGCCCTCCTGGCATCGGCTCCGGTGCATCATGCGCACAAGACCTCCTCATGCCGAGCATGTGTGCAGACTCAAGACTCGAGAAAATCGATGCCCTCGAAACCTGGGCCAACGGACAATGCACTCATGGTTCTCCCTTGATACGGATTCAGGAGCTGTGTGAACCCACCAACAAGCCAAGTGCCTAGAGTTCGTCCTGGAAGGTTTTTGCCAATTCTCCCTGTCCTGGAAGGGGCGAATATCCACCTCATTGGACCAGCCAAGAGGTGACTGCTGCGCCAGTGCAAAGTAGGTCTCTGCAATGTCGTCAGTGCATCCCATCCTCCGCAGGATTGAGGATGATGCATGTGGGCGTGCGTTTACAAAGGGTTCAACACTAGAAATGTATGCCCTCTGCAAGCACTTGCTGCAAAGTGTGCATGATGGAACTTCGCACGCCTGCCCATTACGCGGAACTTGCCAGAGTCTAGTTGGCTTCATGTTGGCAAGCCATCTTCCTAGAATTATTCCAGAGTCTTCACCATCGGCACTCACTTCTATCACAAAAGCTGACAAGCTCTGTCCTGTGCTCTGCGTACATCTGCGGCATCTTCTTCTGGTACCCCGGGGTGTCTAGCACGCAATCCAGCCGGACATGCACGGCGTGGATGCCTTGCTTCCCGTACTCCTGGTCACTAGATCTCCCCAACACAAAGGTTGATTCCCAAAAAAAGGATTCCCAAAAAAAAGGAAACCACCAGTTGGATGGTTTTTTGGGGGTCATTCCATTTCTCACTTTTTGCTGAGAAGACTTCCCGTACTCCTAGGAAACCATAGGGGATGATTTCTTCTTTTTTTTCAGGCTCATTCCCTCATCTTCTCCTGAGAAGAGAACCCGACCCCCCCGCCCACCCAGAACCCTTACACCTTATGTTTTTGCTGAGAAGAGAACCCTGTCCTATGGTTTATAGGGCTCATTCCCTCGACTGTTTTTCGCTGCGTGTGATCCACCGCTCCTTGGCGATGGACTGCGACAGCGCGCGGAGCGCGTGCTTCCCGCAGGCGAACTGCGCCGTGCCGTTGCCCCCGCGGAAGGCCGAGGTCGCCGAGGAGAAGATCCTGGGAGTCCAGCGGAGGTTTCGCGACGAAAAAGCGAGCGGCCATGGAAAGGCCCAAAAGATGTAGTTGTTGTTGTGTTTCAAAAAACAGGCTTCTATTCTTTAAAAATTGAAACGGCCCAAGAATTGTTGAAGGGCTGTTTATTGAATAAAGGGAAATCTAGTGGAAACAAAAAAACCCTGTTGCTTTTTTGAAAAAAAAAGGCTTCTAGTCTTCAAACATGGAAATGGAGCACACCCTGGAGACGAAAATGAACATATCTGAACGTGATTCAGCTTCAATCTAACTTGTGGTTTGGGGCTCGGTGATTTAGAGGTCAGTTTGCTATTTGCCCACTGAAGCCAGGGCTTCAACTCCGCACACCAATCCAATCCACCAACTATTCTAGGGGTTGATTCCTTGTCCATTCTTTTCGACCATCGTTCTTTCCAAAAACCGGATCCGTTTTCCCTCGGTTTCCGGAGGTTTTCTAGAAAGATTCGGATCCCTGGAAAGAATGGGGAAGGTACCCCTAGAACTATGGGTTACTTGATCTGAGCCTAAGAAAGAACAATGGATTCTGAAGAGCATCCAAACTAGCAACTAAGGTTCACTTGACCTGAACCATGATGGGCACGCCAAAAAAAAATGAAGGGCAGTTAATTACAAAGTGGTGGCCTAATATTCACCAGTCCTGACCATTCACCTTTGAAGACACCAGAGACACCGACAGAGGGATTCAAAGAACAAAGGATTCTGAAGGCCCCAACTAAGGGATGCTTGATCTGAACCGTGATGGGCACGCCAAGAAAATAACTGAAGGGCAGCTTTTATTGCAAAGTGGTGACCGAATATTCACCAGTCCTCACCAGAGACACATTCAGACAGAGACACATTCAGCAATTTGGGCACGCAAAATAAATACATTGATTGATTAAAAGAAGAAGAAAAAACTGAAGGGCTGCTACAAAGCAGTGACCGAATTCTGGCAAAGGCGTCAAGGTCCCCTTCTTCTTGACCGCGAACTGCCCGCTGCCCTCCGAGGCCAACATCGAGGGCAGGACCGCCTGGGCGCACAAGAGGGCGCCCGTGCAGGAGGCGTCGAAGGAGCTGCGGAAGGTCTGCGGATCCTGAGTCAACGAAACCCATTTGGCCATGGGCCAAAATGAAACTAGACCAGGGTTGTGGGAAATGGAATCCACTTCTGTGATACAACAAATTGGGCTTCCCAAAGACTAACACCCCATACACAGGGGGAGATTCCCTTGTATCACAGAAGTGGGAATAAACCCCCTGATTCCACAACCCTGAACTAGACGGACCCATTTGGCCAACGAAACCAAACCCATCTGGGGATCCGGCGCCAACAACCCCTGTTAAAAGGTATGGGGGAGTTCCCCTCCAAGGAAAGCCTCTGAATGATTTGGTGGGTTGAGTAATGTTGACCCCAGATGAAGAAACCCCTGTGGATATGGGGGCGTTCCCCTCCAAAAGTGGTTTGAAGCTCCACCAAAAGGGACAACCCCTGTTTATAGATATGGGGGGCAGTGCCGAATTCACATCTCATGTTGACCCCAGATGAAGAGACCCCTGGTAGATATGGGGGAGTTCCCCTCCAAGGAAAGCCTCTGATGTACCGTGATTTATCCTGGTTTTGTGGGTTGAGCCAAAATCCCGTACCCCCAGTGAACAGCCGATTCAATCCAACCACTAAAATAGGTTCTAAAATGGATGGTGAATTCACCTACCCCAAAATGGTACCAAAACGGTTGTGACCCACAGCCATTTGAGCAGCGCCGAAACACAGCTCATGTTGACCCCAAATGAATAAAGCCCTGTTTATAGATATGGGGGGCGTTCCCCTCCAAAAGTGATGAATAAACCCATTTGGCCATGGGTCGAAATTACACCACCAGGAATTGGACCGCAGGTTGAAATGTCCACGCTTCCGTTTACTAAGGCTCCATTTTGGGGTTACCCGATTTTTGACCCACTGCCATTTTAGCCAACAAAAAAGAAGAAAAAAAATGGGCAGCGCCAACAACCCCTGTTGAAAGGTATGGGGAAGTTCCCCCCCAAGAAAGCCTCTGATGTACCGTGATTAGTGATGTTCCTGGTTTTGTGGGTTGAGTAATGTGCCGAATTCACATCTGGCCATGGGTCAAAAGCCAAATCGTACCCCCAGTGAACATCCCAATCCAACCACTACAAAGCCTAAAATGGGTGGTGCACCTACCCCATTGGTTTTGACCCACAGCCATTTGGGCAGTGTCAAAACACAGTTCATGTTAACCCCAGATGAAGAAACCCGTGTTTATAGATATGGGGGCGTTCCCCTCCAAAAGTGGCCTGAATCCCCACCAAAACCAAAAACACCCCCATGTTAAGAAACAGGGGTTTATTGATATGCCTGACTACAATCCTTGTTAAACTAAGTAGCAGAACACCTGCTAAAATGGCTATTGGGGGTTTGGGGCGCTTTTGCAGTGTTGGGCGGCTCGCCATGTTTTCCTATTTGAATGGTTTAGAGTTGATATCCTTTTTCAGTTTGCTAAGGGAAACCAGCAGGAACACCGAAATCCATTTTGTCCAAGCCCCTACTTTGACACATACCAAATGGGAAAAGCATACCTCGTTCTGGGTACAGTCTTGTGGGTGAAACCCAAGAGGAATGTTGGGGGTCTTCTCAAGAAGACACCCAAAAAGCAACTGAAGAGTCAATCGTGTTGGTTTCCGTTCATTGAAACATAAAAAAGGAGAAAACAAATACTGAAAAAAAGCGGGGGGGAAAAAACAAAACAAAAACGAGAACATTCAAGACAAAACAAAAAAGACGAGAACACTCTTTTCAAACAAAAGAAGAAGAAGAAGAAGAAGAAGAGCGTTCTCTTGGCGTATCATTTTATTTTTTCGCCCACCGAAAGTCGATGTCCAAGACGGAGATCCCGAAGCCGCCGCCCCCGCAGTTGTAGACCAAGACCTCCACGACCCCCAGCTCCGCCTTGGCCTTGGCGAAGCCCGCGGCCACGGACTCCGCGCTGGTGGCGTCCACCTCGTAGAAGCCGAAGGAAGCGCCCAGCGCCTCGCGCGCTTCGGCGTCTCTCGCTTCGTGTTTCGTGGCCGCGGCGTGTGGCGGCGGGCGGCGGAAAATGTTTGAAGGGGGGGTTGAGAAAGCTGTTTGTTTGAGATGTTGTGTGTTTTGAGAAATGTGTGTTTCATTTCGACAGGGGGTTTTGAGAGTTGTTTGTGGAAGAAAGTGGTCAAAAGAAGTGCAAAACGGGTTTAAGGGAGTCTTGAGAGAATCGCCCGCGGCGGCGATTCAAAGTCGAGGAAACTGGTCAATAGTTGGGCGGGTTTGCTAGGGGGCATGCCAACTCATTCACTGAGAACCGCACGGGTTTTGAGAAAGTTGTTTGTTGAAGGAAGTGATGAAAGAAGTGCAAAACGAGCTTAAGGGAGTCTTGAGAAGACGGCGAAGTGGTTTTGCGTCAAGAGTCTTGGCAGAACAAACGTTCAAAAAGAGCAGCTGCAAAGTGGTTTTAAGAGAGTCTTACATATATATATATATATATGTGGAAGCTCTCCCAAGCTCTCACGATTCTTCTCGCCTGCAGCTTCTCCCGCACCGGCGCGAAGCTCTCGGCGCTGCGGCACATGGCCGCCACGGCGTAGCCGCTCCGCGCGAACTTCAGTGCCGCGCTGCCGCCCATCCCCGGGCCGCAGCCCACCACCGCCACCACCGGCGCCATCGGCGGGCGATTCGGCTGGGGAGGCGGAAGGCGCGGGTCGCTGGACAAGGGAAAGGCGGCCGGGGAGTGCCAGGCAGCTAAGGGCAAGTGGAGAGGACATGAAAATTGGAAAGACCACTAAAATATCACAGCAAAAAAAATACTGTTTGACTTGACAAGGTAGAGAAGGGAATATTAAAGTACATCACTGGAGCAAAATGGGCCTGAAACCTGGGGACGGGCTTGGGCTCGGGTATGGAACGCTCCTCGTCTCGAGCTTCACCAGGATAGCTCTGAGTCACTTGCTCTTCGCCGGGTGCGTGAACACCACATCTACCGCCAGCGGAACCCACACCGGTGGCGGCAGGGGGGCCTCGGCTGGCGATTTTTCCCGCACATGCAGTGTCACTCCCAGCAGCCACATGGGCCACATCTTTTGGAGTTGCAATGGTTAAACAGCTTCTTTGCGGGTTGCCATGTCTGGCTCAGCTGGCTCGACTGGACTAAAACTTTGCTCACAAGGGTGTGCGATCAAACCCTTTGGCCAAGTGTTGCCCTCTGGCCGGGCCAGATAGAGGTACTCACTTCCCGAGTGGATCCACAAAGTCCCAACAAAACTTTAACATGAGACGGGGGCCCAACGAAAATCCAGCGGGGTACTTCACGAGCCCCGTTCCAACCCAAGGGGGTAAAGCCAACTCCGAGGCAACGGAAAGCCATGCATTGCTCAATTCGGGACCTTCAGAATGCGACCTTCACCTTGACGTAACCCAAGATACTTCGCCGTCACTTTGCCCACATTCATAAAACTAGTGGTGGCCCCTGATGTATACCCCCCCCCCGCTATTTTTCAGGGGACATCCTTTTTTAGTGGAGATTCCTTTCTTCCATAAAAACGCCCTGACTAATAACCGGGGCTGGTGGATTCAACCTGTTGCCCCGGCTGATTCACTTGCTCCTAGCTCTCAGCTCGCGGTGTTCGGGCGACGGCTCGAATCCGTGGTACGAGGAGCTGGGAGGTTGCGTCAGCGACAGCTTGCGCACCTCAAGCGACAGAAGCCCTTTGCAACTTGGAGGAAACCAGAGGTTGGGGGGGGGGGGGACCCCCGAGCGACAGGGGTTAAAGACGATAAACCAGCAACTGTGTAGCCGCTTTATAACAGCTGTTTACCCTGTTTCCCCTGCCGGTGGACCATGTTCGACAGGTCGAAGATCATACCAAAAAGAAGCCAAACGGCTCGAGTCCACCCAACGCAATGTTCACGAACATTGATTTATGGTTCAAGTAGAACAAAATGTTCGGAAAGGAGACTTCAGCGCACCTCCATTCCCGACGTCCAGGCAAACAATACGTCTTCATCTATATATATATATATACAGTAGTAATTATTCTTATTTAAAAAATAATGTTGCAAAAAACCGTAAAGCAACCTCTAACAACTTGGAGTGAAAAGAACTGTTACTGTACAATCAGGAAGTCTAAAAAGAACGACCAAGATGCCTTGTTTAAGGATTGCATGCCCCAAGGTCGAAGCTCCCAAAATGTGGGCCATAAAAATGGCACCCAGAACCCTTCTCATGGCTGTCGAAATGTCCTAATGAATGGGGTCCTTGACCACCCCTACGTCCGGTAAAAGTGTGCGTTGACCAGGGCTAAAAAAGCCCCAGCGTTCCTCACCCAGGCAACCCCGTGAATTGCCGAGGTTGCTCTGGTTTCGGGTGGGCAGAGGGCACCAGGGGAAAGCCCAATCAAGGGCACTACAATGGCGAATGGCACCAGGAAAAGCCGACCCAATTCGCTCCGTGCACATCTTCTCGAACTGGTCCTTCCAAAAAGCCCCTGGGCGCCCCCTCCCACCTCTTTTGTTTGTTGCTGCTTCTGTTCGGAGACCATCCAAAAAAATATATGTCCGTTTTCCTGGACAAAACTCCCACCAGTGGTTCTTCCCAGCTCTTCAACTCGGGTTTCATCTATGCCAACTGCAGGATTTTTGTCCACACTATGGGGGGTGGGGGCGGACGTCTGCTTCAGGGGCCACGGCACCACCAGCAACCCCCCGCACAGCCGCCAGCTTCGCCCTCAGCTTCGCCCGCGCCTGTTCGCAGTCCAGGCACCTGAAAACCATCACTCAGAACTCGCCAAAGGAATTTGCGGAAGACCTTCATGGAGTTCAAGTTAGACCTCTTGTATTAATACTACCCTCCATTGTACAAACTTTCTTTCGAATTGTACAAACTGCTTTTCGAATTCAGGATCCTGTGACTGTTTTAGGGCTCCTCTATTGCAGTTCAAGTAAACCAGAGATCGTGATTTTTTTGATTTTGCCACAAATGCCATGGGCATTTTTGGGCAAACTTGTTTAAACAAACAGAAAAATTTAGGCTAGCCGGACCCCGGCACGGAAAATCCGAGCCCACAAACCCTCAACCCCCGCAACCCTCGACCCCAAACCCCCTACCCCCACCCCACCCCCACCCCCACCCAAAAAACAGAAACTGTTGCAACATCCTCCTGTCCTCAAGGTAACACTCCGCTACAATTTCCCAAGGACCCCCCCAAACAAAAAAGAAAACAACGAGAAAAAAAACGCAAACGACCCAGCGAACAAGCAATCTACGACCGCTTCAACCCCCAATCTTTTTCTGTGCCAAAGCGGCACAGAAATCCCATGACTTCACTTTGGCGATTCCCCAAGAGTTCCCCTTCGGTTCCAGTGAATAAAGAGGAAATTGAAGGCCGGGCCCACCGCCAACCCGCATTTGCCAAAGTAAAAGTGAATCGACCCTTTAACCTTTCCTTTCCGTGATTTGGTCCATATTTCGTCAAGGTTCCAAAAGGTTGTAGTTCAAAGTGGCCACAGCCCCCACCCCCCCGGATCGAGGGCCCCGCGCCTCGATTCGCCCTCCAGGCCCCGAAAACCATCGCTTCAGCGGCAACCATCGCTTCAGCGCACTCAGCCCTAACGGGGCAAACCGCTGGGATGGGCTACCCTTAAGGTTCAGACCAAGCGAAAACCGGTGGCCAGTTGTGTTTTGTGTTTTTTTGGGGGGAGGTCCATGGAGGTCCCCCCCTAAGTTGATGTTCAAACCATGAGGTGGTCCCAAACGAAACGAAAAAGAGGGGTGGAGGAGCCATTACAAAAACTTGGTCAGCCTGGGGCTGGGCAGAAAGGGGCAACCTCTCGCCCTGCCAAGGCCCTTCTGTCCGCTTCCCCAATCCTCCACTTCAGTCCCTACCCGCACTTCAAAAGAACTCCGAGCCCGGGTTCCTAAACAGCAATACCTCATCTCCAAAGAAACTCTTAGACGACCTCGTCTAGTGAATTAACCGCTCAAGGATCCGAACACTTCCCACAAAAAATGGCCTTGCCCTGGTGCCACGTGGTTATCTTTTGGTCAACCGGTATTCCCCTCAAAGGAAAAAAATCCGCAGCTGTCGCTGTTTGCAAGTTGAGAAAGCCGAGAAGAAAAAAAAGGGGGAAATAAAGGGGGGAAAAAGAAAACGCTCAGTGGAAACCCAAACCTTTTGGGTTCCATGAACATCTTTGCAAGCTGCCGGTATGAAGGGGAACCGACCAAACACAGAAAAAACACCGCGCCCCAAACCGCCGGCTTCCGCGATGGCGGAAGCACAGGCGCGCCTGCGCCACTTTCCCGAGCTGGAACCCTTTGGCCATGCCGCAAGAAAAAATGTGTTCTGCCCTGAAAAAAAAAGGCTTTGGCCTTGTTGCGTTGATTTTCGGGTGGTTGCGAATCGCGATCTTCACAACACCCAGGGAGAAAAAAAGAAAAAAGAAAACGGACGCCTTAGGGCCTTGAGGGAGCTCGCGAAGGCTCAATCTTCTCACTCGGGAACCCAGGTGTTCCGTACATGTCTGGTGTTATGTTGATGGGGTGCAGCAGTTTTCCGTGGATTCGGATCGATGGAACAAAAAAAACGGAGGGCTTGCTGAAAGCCCCGGAAAAAGCGATCAAAACACATGTTTTGTCATTACCTTTTTTAGGGAAGCCAATTTTTGGGGTTGGTTTGAAGGGAGCCCGCCGTTTTGGGGGTCCAAACGTTTCAATTTTCTGACGCACAACTGCCGCCAACTCCGCTTTGCACTCGCAAAGCTTCGAGCCTCAAACCCGCGCTGCCGGCTTCGGGTCGCTTTGCAAAAACTGCGAGCCATGTGGGTGGCTCGTCTTTTTTGAGGCTGAGGGTAGATGGTTTCAACGGGGAGCCAAAAGGAAACCACTCATTTTGGGGGGTCCCGATCAAATCGCCAGCCGAGATCATCGGACCCTGGGCGATTTGTAATAATTGGCCCACCGAAAATAAGGGATCCGGGAAACATCGTTCTAATTTGCCCAGTGGGTAACCTCCAACAAAATCAAAGGCCCGCCAAGTGATGGGAGGGGCGCAGTCAAATTTAGGTTGGAATGGTTGTGAGTTCATATGCTCGTGGAAAAACTGCGGAGAACATCTGCTTGTCACCAGTTGGTAGGTGGTTTATCCCAGTGACAGAGTTTCATCTGCTGCATGGAGTTCGTCTCACGGAATGAGGCTTCCACGGCAACAAGTGACTCCAAAAAGCGGCAAGAGCATGCGCAAAAGTCGCTTCCGGGAATACATCGCCGCAGAAATCCTGCTCATGATGCTGGGAAAAATGTGCCAAAGCGGAAAACAAGAAGGTCGAAAGGTCGCTGTTAGGGTGATACAGGGGCCCAAAAGGAAATGGAAAAACGAACGACATCGCCTACCAAACGGTGGGAAAGGGGAGAAACAAAACGTGCCCTGAGCGCAAGGTTTAGTTGAGTATGGCTCGTCAGTTGGGGATTTGGCTCCACATGGGTGCTTTTTTTTGGTTCCCAACCCCGCAAAGGGTACGAGCTGAGGTGAGCTTCCGTAGAGTCGGACAAGGCACTTTGCGGCCAACATTCGCAGTTGTTGGAAGCCCCAACGAAGTTGGTTCAGGTCTTAACTTGAAGAGAAGGATGTTGTAAGTGGCTTGGTTCATCGTCTGTCATCTCACCAGACAAAACAAGCAAATCCACACGGGCGCATTGTAAAGCGGAAAAGC